GCTCCGATATTCAAAGTCGTTCCGAAATCGCAAAAAGAATAGAAATCCGAGAGCGAGTCTCCAGGTTGCCGCGAGGCTGATTGCGTAGGGAAGGGACGAGGGGAAAAGAGGCTTCTTCGCCGATAAACGAGAGCATGCAAATGAGAGTTTCGCTTACCTGAAATCTCGATCGCGCACGGCCGCAGCGACGGTCTCGGCGCGATCTGTTGTTATAAAAGCAACATTATTTCCTCTTGATTCTTCGCCTAATTTTTTAGTGACTTCTCCTCAACAAAGAAGTAGGCAAATTTACTTTGAACTAGTTTGAGTATTCGTCGAAATGTCCTAAACTTGCGAATAAATCTTCGTCGAGGAGTGCAAAAAGACAGGATTTAGTGTAGTTATAATGAACGGTTAATCGTCTCATCTTAATGAGACTGTGTGTGGAGAAAAATTAAGTAAACCGTCCTGTACAGCATAAATAAAAGACATAAATAAAAGATATTTCAGAGACGTCTGAATAATATCCTATTTGTTTTATACATTTTTAGAATATCTGTAAGACTTATTTTAGTTATTTGTGCTATTTGGGTAACTTAGTGCATCCGCACACAGAAATAATAATATTGTTGGCCATACATAAACCTGGTCAACCAGATTTAATATTGAATTTGGCAAGCATATAATTTGTCATATGGAATTTCTGATGTGTTTCTTAAGTATTTTTATGCATAAAATCCGAAAATAAACTCAGAATTTCACCATCACCCACAGTTATTTTGCAATGGTCTCATTTGGAATTTACTATATTATATATATGATTTCACACAATTCGATTTGATTCTAAATTTTCTATATTGAAGTACTATCAACATTAAATATTTTAATAAAAGCTTGTTTATTTCAGCAAAATATCTACAAAAATGTCTATAAAAATTTATTAAGATTCATAATTGCTCTTCAATTAGGCATAAGATATAATAAAAATTGACATATTTTTTTTTATTTTTAAGAGAGACATACACCACAAGTTAAATACAGCAAAAAATTTACATTTTAAATGACGTAATCCATCTTTGTGCACATAGAGATTTTCTTATAATTTAAAAATCACATCACTGGAAAGCCCCCGGGTGACAGAGAAAACCTGTTTGCATTTTTAGACTTTTAGCGTATACAATACTATATATATATGGATCACATAATTTGATCCGTGTGACAAGGGAGTTTCTTCTTATAGACCAAATGTAATCGGTATCGCGAATTGAACGACTCTCTGGAGGTAACGCATCTTTATTCTTGACTCTACCTCCGTGCTGCCTCGTGGACAGAACGGAGACAGGATACAGCAAAATCGATCGTATCGATCGGTGGCAGTGTGTCCGTCGGGCCGACGGATGCGGATTTGCGATCGACAGTTACGCGGAGACGTGTGAAGGAGTATAATGACTAGAGATGTTACGTTACGTTTCCTTGCGCTGTGAATCACGCTGAATGCATCGCGTAGGAGAATCCCTCCTTCGAGGGCGGAGATCCGAAGCTCTCGTCCAAGGGGACGATCATCTCCTAATGGATATGCCGATACATCGGCTCTGAATACGCCTATCGCGGGTACATAATGATCTCTTTATGCGATTATTTCCACCCTTCGTGGCTCGCTTACCTACTACTTACGCTTACGTAACACGGCACGATCAAAGTGTTAAAATAGATCGAAACAATTATAGGCGCACAGCAGCATCCGTCCAGCATCTACGGACGCTCCTCTAACGGGCTAACGCTAACTTACAAAGACCTGAGAGTGTGACGACACGCGGGATCACTTCTCCACCTCGGCGATGTCTTCGCCGCGTTAAGGAAAAACGAAAGAGAGAAAAGAAAAATATCTCGAGGTCGATTACATAATTTACGTAACGCGAAAACAAGCAATTCGCTCGGAAAGAAATCGATCGATTCGACACGCCTCGGTCGGCCGATGACTTTGAAGCGAGTCTTTTAACATGTTCGCTACCACGGTTCATTTAGGGGATCCTTACAAATCATCCCTTGGTTTCCTTCTTCTTTTTACATAATTGAGTACAACACATAGATACGTAGAATAGACTGCGTATTGTCGTAGAAGAGATGAAATCAGCATTAGCAAGAAAAGGCAATAGAGAGTAAGATCCCAGATAGCACGAGCTCTAAAAATGACGTATAAGATGACTTTAAGATGTCTTTTAGTTATGTTTATGACATCTCTAAAAGATGTATCATTAAGATGACTAAAAGGCATCTTAAAATCATCTTATGCGTCGTTTTTAGAGCCCCATGCTGTCTGGGATGCTTTCCTTTTCTAATTGTCTAGTTGGTAGAGAGAACGAAGGAGGAAAAGCGACCACATGATCAATGCGTCTTTCTCTTCCTTTTACTAAGTGTCGCCCTCTCTCTTTCTCTCTCTCTTTTGTTTCTCCTACATCGCGCCTTCCTAGAATACTACGTGACAAAGAAAACATTTGACTTGTCTCGAAAGAGAGCTTGCAATCTTTTCTATAAGTCTGTGATAAAACCATAGACTTATGTATATAGACTGAGTGCTCTAAAAGAGGCTGTGAAGACCGGAGTAGAAAAGGATGTTCTATTCCCAGATAGACAAATGTTTATAGAGTGACACCAACATGTGTCCCATTTCTGGGCAGTGAAAAATGTACTTAAAATAGATACCAAATTAAAGACTTTGGTGAGGTGATTACAAAGATATAAGTTTTAGAGCCCAGCGTGCCGTTCCAACACTACGGTCCAAAAAGGTTCCAAATTTTAGGAACACACTTTCTTTATGTTTCTTTCATTTCATTTCATTTCAAAAGTTGGATTTTGTTTGATCTAGCTTTTAAAATAGTTGAGCAAAAACAATTTGAGTATTTCTAATGTTTTTGAGTAGGTTAAGGTGCATTTTCCTATGCACTTCATGTTTCAAAATAAACTGAAAGTTGATATTCCAATTGGAATTTTCTAGTTCCGGTCAGTTTGGAACATGGAATTTATACCATTAAATTCTTCATTTAATTTTATTAAATGCATTTTGAATTTTTAAGATCCGTTAAGTTTTGCTAAAGAAACATCAGTTTGAAAGTAGCCTAAAATTTGAGATCTTTTTGGATCGTAGTGTTGGAATGGTACACTGGGCAGCTCTAAAATTTATATCTTTGTAATCAGCTCATTAAGACCTTTAATTTGATGCCCATTTTAAGTACATTTTTCACTGTCCAGAAATAGGACACATGGCCTACGGATCAATGGCATCACTCTTTGACAAATTTTAGTTGATTTGTAAAAGCAGCATCACTCTTGATTTATTTATTAGAACTTGCATTTATTTATTCATAGAATATGGAAATAGAAATGTGACAGAAATACGAAAAAGTTTTCCCGATTTGTCCAAAAACATATACTATATAAAGAAATATGATAAAGTAATATAAAAATCTAAGTATAATTTTTAGTAAATTTGTTACTGTATCGTTATAATAAAAAAATTATGTATTATTTTTAATGTAAATTTAATTATTAATTTAATACATTATATTTGCTTCATAAAAGTAATGAAAAGAATTGTAAAGTCATCCGTTGTCTTCAAATCACCCATAAGAAAATACTGTCTATGTACACGGAGAGAGTATTATAGTTTATTTAAAAAAAAATTGTTCTAAATTTTATTATGTTTTTAATAATCCAGGAATCGACTGTCAGTAAAGTCTATATTGCTAAGGAACAGAATAAATTTCGTCAAAAACGTAGCAAGTATTTTTATCAGCATATATTTCGATTTCTAAAGTATAAATGACACACCTGAGACGAAAGATTACGACAGAATGATCGATCTATTCCTCGGTTACAAAATTCTATAGTAGTTCTTGCTGTAAAACTCTCTCCGTGTATGTCAGTCTGTCGGTAAAACGGTTTGTTGACGCGGGCATAGAAAGCAAAATGACCGTTGTCACACATATGTGACGCTGGTTTCTCGTGAGAGATCAATGCGTCACGCACATGTTCGCAAATGTGCTAACCGCGATGTCAGCCCGGCGAGGACGAAGTGGACCCGCGCGACGACACCTCCGACGTCTGATACTTTCGCTATCTCTTCGCGAAGCTGTCTTTTGGCGACGCGAGAGCAGCACGAAGGCGTGTAACGACCATCGGTCCGGCGTCGCTCGACGATTCGTAGTCGTTCCCAAAGTGTCTTTTAACGAGTGTTCGCTATCTTAGGGGTAACGCGTCCGCTGCCTCGCGTCCAGAGCGTAACAACGCGCCAGCGGGATGATAATCCCTTTGGTCCCTCGCGTCGTCATGAACGCGAACGTCGTCGTTGCTCGCTCGTTTCGAGCTCGCCTCTGTCTTTTCGTCCGCGGCTTCTTCGCGGCTGAACGTCGCCCGAGCTGAGCGCGATCGGGAATCGAAACCGGTATAATTTCGACGACTTCAGTTGGCCGCGCGCTTGCCGCGGATACGGCAAGACCGCGCGCCGGTCGTCGCGTTCTCATTGTCAACGGGAAGTACGAGTCGCGACGGAGATGCAAAATGCAGACGCGCGGCTTTAACTTCTCTCCGGAGATTCGCAAGAATCGTGGAAGCGTGATCTGTATAATTTATAGCATCCAGACGCAAGTCTCGACGAGATGCTTATCGCTGTCTTTCGCAGCGTCGTGTGTAAAGCCGAAACTCTCCCATGAATTTTATGTAAATTTTATATAAATGTTATAGACATTTTGTGGGAAATCTCACAGAAATTCCATAGAAATTTTTAACTTCACACAGATAATCCGCAGAAATTTCTATAACATTTATATAAAATTTACATAAAGCTTCATAGAAATTTTATGTGAATTTTATATAAATATTATAGACATCTTATATATATTAAATTTTGCAGAAATTCCATAGCAATTTTTTATTTCTCACAGATCCGTAGAAATTTTATAGAAAATTTCTATAACACTTGTATAAAATTTATATAAAGTTTCATAGAGAAATTATATGCAAATTTTATGTGAATTTTATCTATGAAGTCGAAATTTTATATAAAGATTATAAATGTGTTAATTTTATATAAAGATTATATGTAAAATTGAAATATTTTATATAAATTCCATGGAAATTTTATAGAAGATTGGAATTTTTTACGAAATATCAAGAACGCATCAACGATACCTCACACTCGTATCATCCGTTCCTCCGAAATCGCTCTCGCACAGCATCGGAATCCGGACTCGTCGAAGTTACATTGGTAAATTCGTTCGTTCGATACAGAGAGAGAGAGAGAGAGAGAGAGGGAAAAGTGCAAGAAAGAGAACACCAATCCCTGAGAATCTCGAATGACCGGCGCGTTTCTTTCTCTTCTCTGTCTCTCTCTGTCTCTCTGTCTGTCTCTCTCTCTCTCTTTCTCTCTCTGTCTCTCTTTGACATCTCACCGCGAATCGTCGGACGCGAAGACGCGCGGTACAGGGGACGCGTCTCCGACATCTCCGGCGCTATCGTCGCATCGCTGCGAGCTCGATAAGCAACAGCCGGCGGAAAGGAGGATAGACGCGCCTCTTGGCGAGACCGGATCCGCGGATCCTTGAAGAAGACCCGTCGGCCCTTCTGCCGCCGCTGCTTCTTCTTCTTCTCAGGCTCCGGCCGCGATCGCACGTCCCGCGTCCCCGGATGCGTCGACGACCGATGCGCGATGCGGACGGCGGGCGAGGGCAGGACCGCGGCAGCGAATCGAACGTGCCGACCCTCCGAGGCAACCTGCAACAATAATAATCGTCCGACTCATGGCGCGGTGAAGCGATTGCGTAGATCGCATCGGACACGCTCAATTGATCTATGGACGTCGCGGCGGGACACGCGTCTCCGGGCTGCTTAGTTATGGCAGGTGAAATTGTGAGCGAGCGCGCACGTACCGAGCACGCACGTGCCCGGCGCGCATCGTTCCCTCGCGAAGCGGCCGCGTAAATCGCTCGAAATGCCTGCCATTATCGTTATTCGCCGATGTGGACGGACGCGTTTGTCTGACGCGCGCGCCGAGTTAACTCCCATGGGATATACTTGCGGACGTGAAAAAATCGCGTAAACCGCACCGTGCAAAATCGCAAGCGGGGAAGACCGGGGCAGGTTGACGGGGCAAATAAAGTGTGTCACACTTTTTCAGAATACCGACATTGGGATCTCTTCTAGACTTATTAGCCAGACAGACAGGCGTACGTAAATTTAGCAGCAAATTCGGTAGTCCCCATGTGTAAAGATTGTATCCTTTAAGGGGCCAGATCAATGTAGAGCTTTGAGAAAAACGTATTTTTGGGAATTAATTTTGCGAAAATGGAGATTAACCGAATGTTGAAATATTGTATATTAATTAAATAACCATTAAACTTTATATTACTATCTTTGTTATTTAGAAGAATCTATAAATAAATATGCGGCATGCATATTCTGTATATTATAAAAAGTTTCTTAAATAATGCTTGTAATTGGAGGATGAACCTAAATTTTATACTGTAGAACGAAAATTGCAGAAACAATAGCTGTTTAACAATTAAATATCCAAATTTCGCATCTTTTTATTTTACACTATTAAGAAAGATATTAAGTTTAATGTTTTTCTGAACTTTTTAGGTTTATCTTCCAAACTACAAGCATATTATATAGAAAACTTTTCGGTTTTTTATCTCAGATCATTAGAACAGACGCTATCTTTCCCGCCGATTGCAACGATATTTTTTGCAGTCGTGACTGCATATTTATTTATAGGTTTTTCTATATAACGAAAATAGTAATATAGTGTTTAATAGTTACTTCATTAATATATAATATTTGGAAACATTCGGTTGATCCATTTTTGCAATTTTGATTCTCAAAAATATGCTTTTTTCAGAGCGTTACATTGATCTGGCCCCTTAAGCCTATCTAAATAAACTTGCGTGATCGCGTGTTGCATTTGCATAAGACGATCAACCAATTATGATCTGCGCAATAAAAGGATGTCTTTTGTATCACACACTTTTGTTATACACACAATTGGTCAATATCCCTGTGACTATGCAAGTTTGTCTGGATAGACTTTCATGCGAGTGGTTCATATGGCACTCATATTTATTACATAGAATGATAGAATAGAGTTACGAAAAGGAGGAATACGAAAGAAAATTACTACAATTTACTCAAAATATTATGCCATGCAAAAGTAATATAAAAATCTGGAGATAACCTAATAAAAACCCAATTAAAATCTAATAAAAAGTAAAACGTAAAAATAACATTACATCAATGTTATAATTTTCCACTCAACAATGTAACTATTATGTATAGCATGTGTTTATATTACATATATAGAAAAATATATTCTGCATTTAAATATTTCGTAAATTTATATATTTACCAATCTATTATAAGTTCATCATTTTTATTTTTTAAGCATCAAATTTATTCAAAATATATTTTATGTTCTGGTTAATTTAGCACTTCAAACAATCGGTTTGCTTACTATATATTGTTGAATTTTTTCTTCAATAAAGTTTTATAATATTCTCTTGTAGAAAGGATAAAAATTTTTCTTTTGTGTACATAAAAATTAATTTTCCTTTAAAATTTGTGCTTTAATAAGTATATTTATTGAGAAAATATTCTCTGTTGAAGGTAACCATTACTTAAAAAATAATGGTAAGAAAATAATCAGTTCTTTTAGCAATAGAATAATATTTTTTTGTGTGTACTCTTACATTTGCTAAGTAGGGGTTTTAAGTAATTAATTACAATTTTACGATTGCAATTTTAACGAAATTAAAGCTTAATTTTAGGATTATAATTTTAATACATAATTTAGAAAATTAAATTGAGAATTAAAATTTAAATTCTCAGCTGGAGAAGATCAATTAAGAATTGAGAATTTAATTCACAATTGAAATTCTCTCAGTTGGGAATTAAGATCTTAATTTTTCATGGAAGATATTCAATTGACCATTAAGATAATCAAGTTTAAAATGTTTAATTTTACTACAAACTCTATTGCTGAATGAGAAATCAATGTAATATTGTCAATTGATGCTGACTGGGAACATTTAATAAATTTGCTATATAAATATAATAGAAAATTTACATAAATTTATGATATAAATTTAATGATTAATTCAATAAATAATGCAAACTTTACAATTCTTTATAAAGTTTCCGTCATTAATCTCTTATGTCATGACAAGCATGAAAGTCTATCTCGGTAATTGTAATTAATTGTGCAGAAATGAAAAGGGCAACCGTCTTCTATTTTCTTACGCGACTAACAAAAATAGTATATTTCTTTCTGTAGCAAATGAAAAATATGTTTTACGCCAATTTAATCCCGTCTCACTTGTCCCCGCGGTCGGAATGACTTTCTTACGCGTAACTCGGGGACGTTAATTAATGTTTCACGCGCAGCGTTGACGACTTAATCGAAACGATTTACGCATTATCGCGAGTCAATCGATTGTTGGCCGCGAATACCTTTCTTTCCTTACGGCGACCTTACGCGACTTTGTGCACCGAGCTGCGAGAAATTAACATTTCTGCGGGGCCGAGCGCGCGCGCGCCGTGCATGTCGCGTCGTAAGTAATGTCGCGGTGTAGCGTTTAGCGTTGTGTCTCAGCGTCGGCGATACCGGAATAAATCGGCTTACGGTTCGATGCGCGAGGATGCGCACGTTATCCGGCGTATGCGCATACATCACGTGGGCGATCGACAATCCCTTAAGAATTCAATGCGCCTCCGAATGCCAGTGTCATAAAGAGCGAGTATTCAACGACCACAACGTGCGCGAACACACACAGACACACCCACACGCATACACCTATACTCACATACACGCCAACACATGCCACCCACGCGAACGAAAGAGGCCGAGGAAAGGCGCTCACCTCGATCAGGCTTCTTGAAGCTCGCCCTTCACTCCCGGCACGCCGTGGTGATGCCTTGAGGCGAGCTTGTTGGCCAATTCGTGCATCACGTCCCTGTAGATGACGGTGTCCAAATTCTCGCCCAGCATGTACAGGAGGAACCAATCGCCCACCTTGCTGCGACGCACTATCGTCTCCACCGCGTCCCGCCGCACCAAGCGGAACCGCATTCGCAGCAGGTAGACCCTCGTGCGCGGTGAGAAAATTATCAGTATCTGGGGCAAACAGATGTAAGCTCGCGAATGCGTCCGAGTCGAAATTTTAGCCCTACTGTCGACCTGAACTTTCTAACACCCGTGCACGCTGAAGGATCAGTTTGTGTTTAATACACGTGTGAAACTGAAGTTCCACTTGGCGTCTCTAGGTAGCAGAAAATGCACGAGATACCACTTTCCAAAGAAGTTCTAAAGGGGATCTCTTGCCAGAGTCAGTGGGTTAATTAGAATTAAAAGAGGTTGATATAGACGCCAAAGTATCAAAGTAAGCGTTAGATGAAATACTGAGGTCGAAAGTAGGATCAAAATTTCGACTCGGGCAGTGAAAGCAGGCTGCTAACGGGCCGATCGTTACCTTTTATTATACACGAAACGTTCTAAGTGCATTAAATTATAAATATTCATAGTTATTTTACAGTGAGATTTTCTCCGCACGACCAACAACTACTCGACTCCTGCTTTAAATCTTCTAATTAGTTTTTGGTTCTTTAATCAGATTCAGATAGACTTTTATGATTATCATGACGCGAGACGATCAATGATGAAAGCTTTACATTTTTTAAAATTACGTTTATAAGGCTAATATATATCGTATTAAATTAAACATATTGCATTAAATTTACATCGTACAATAATGTAAATTTTTTGTTACATTGACGCAGCGATAAATTTACTAAAAGTTCAGATTTTTATATTATATTTTACATAATATTGTTTTAAGTAAATTTTGATAATTTTTTCTGTTTTTATTTCACCGCTCCATGTGACACAATATAGAAATTATTCATAAGAGATACAACTATTACAAATTGACCAGGATAAAGTTATTGCCAAATTTGTGTATTCTTTTTACGGTATTTGGCAGACAACACATGTTTGCAATATTGAACATTAAGGGGAGGTCCTGATAATCACATAAAAATGAGATAGCCAAGAAATAAGAAACTTTTACGAATCTTTTTTAAAGAAATGAATAAAGACATCAATATAAGGATTTGATCACTAATTATCATTGTTTTAAGTATGAAAAAATTATTTTTAAAAAACAAATTCTGTCCAAGTTCTTGTGCTTAGCGCAGTGTCGGCCGGACAACATTATAGCTCGTATAATAATCTGGAACAAATGGGAACAAGAAAATTTAAAAACTGTATGTTGGAGAATGAATCTAAATATTTATTTGGAAAATTTCCAAAATTATTATCCCGGAATACTAAATAAGAAAGGGAAAAAGAAGAAAAATTACTTGCAACTTCGAAGTATTACCATTTTGTTAAATTTCAGTTTCTTGCATATAACAAAGATTTATCCTCCGGCGAATTTAATATAGTGCTTAACGAGCCTAATACAATTTAATATAGTTTTACACGAGGTAATATATAATTTTACACAAACTGACAAGAAACCTAGATGACGAAATTTCAATTTTTTTTTATATGAAAATATAATTTTGTTATACTTAAAACAATGACAAATGATATGGTCAAAACTCTATAATATCTTTATTCATTTCCTGAAAAGAAATTCGTAAACACCTATAATTTTTTTGACTATTTTCACTAGAACTTCCCTTAAATTGACTAAAATGTTAGTCGACTAAAATTAATCAGTTATTATATATAAAATTACAAATAACTTAATCGATTAATGAAATCAATTATTAATTAAACTTAGATGTTATTGATTTTATTGATACACTGATTAATAATTAATTTCATCTATTGATTAAATTATTCATGTAATTACATACATAACGATTGATTTACCTTGATTATTGATGCACCGGCTATTTTAGTCAAATAAAATTTTAATCGATTAATATCAAACACTGTCTATTTATTTGGAGATATACAGATTGTTATTGTTATTTTTTAACTTCTTTCAAAAACCGTTCTCTTTCACTCGGAGCGTAAACATTGCTTTATCGAAAAATGAAAAAGTAACATACTTCGTCGAATGGAGAATGCTGGTTATGTGGGAGAAATTGCATTCTCCTATCCTTTCTCTCTCTTTCTTTCTCTTGTCGTCCTTTTGTCTGCGTCCACGGACATGTGTTTTTTATTTACGATACTCGCGAAATTTACGAGACTCTCGCATCGTGAGACTACTAACCCTATACAAAACCGTAAAGAAACTGAGCACGCCGAGGAAGAGGAACCAGAACCAGAGGAAAACATAGATCTTCTCGTTCACGACGTTCAGAGGCAATATACAGACGGCGTCGTGCCTTTCGACCTCCCCGCTGACGCCGTACTTGTAGAAAGTGCACTTGGTCATTCGTGGGAAGACGTAAATCATCGGGTCCACTCGGTCCTCCTGATCGGATTCGAGGAACCTGAGCACGTCGATGCCGAAGGTCAAGAAGGCGCCGTCGAAGAAGCGGTTCATCAGAAACATCTGACCTGCGACAATGTATTCGTCGCTTTACGCTCTTTCTCTCGTTACTTTCCCTTCTCTTTCTCTCTTTTCTCTCTTCAAAGCGTATTTTAATCGCTCATTTCGTTTTACCGTAGCAATTATCTTTTTTATGTTATATGCTCAAGCAGGGTAAGATAATAATCATTATCACCTCGAGTATCTTTGAAATATGAGAATTAAAAAAGAATTTATTTAATAAAAATTACACGGCAAAAGCGGCGATAACATCTATTTTAATTTAATCTATTTTATTCTATATTACATCTATTTTATTTTAATAGCGGTAATGTTTTCTTTTCTCTTTTTCCAGGTAAAGTGCACGGAGAGAGTTTTATAGATAAAAAGTACTAGAGAGGATTTTGTAACTAAGTAAATTGACATTCTGCAGTAATTCTATACTTTCATTTTATATTGCTATTTATACTTTAGGAAGTAAAATGTACTTAAAACACTTGCTATGTTTCTAGCAAAATTTATTACATTCCTTAGCAAGACAAATCTTACTAATAGTCTATTCCTGGACTATTAAAAACATAGTAAAATTAGAAAGAATTTATATGAAAAAAAGAACTATAATATTCTCCCCGTGTAATCTCGAAAGTTACCTTTGTTTTTTCAAATAGAATGTTATGATTATGTATTTATCTTTTGATAGCGCTTATTAGCAGGAATACAACGACTTATGATAAAAGATAATTCAAGATCATTAAAGTTACGATACTTTAAAAACTCTCAAGTGTCCTTTAAAAGTTATTTGAGTTAAAGAAGGAAAGTTCTTGAAATTGAGGATATTAGTTACGACTCGTTATTTTTTATAAAAAAAAATATATAGAAAAACATTTTCCTATTTAAATTCATGTATAGAAAAACTTTCCTTTTACTCTCATTCGAAGATATTCTCTTTCGAAGATATTCAAGGAGGTAATAATTATTATCTCACCTTGTATAACGAATTAAGGACAACAAATGGCGGATTCTCGTTACACACACACAAGTTTATTAAGTAATTAAACAATTACATCGATATTAGTACGAAAGATTCGTCTCGCCGACATGATTGGAACCCAATCCTAAAGGAAATAACATTTCCCTTTTGATCTTTAGTTTCGCGAACGCCAAGAGGAGATGTCGCGACAATTTTTTGGAACACATTCCGTCGTCCGGCACAGGAAATGTCGAGTGGTATTTTCGCAATTAAACCGTGAATTATTCCATTTGTTCTCGCGTCTTGCATCTCCGCAGCACTACTCGTCTGCATGTGAATAATCGCGACGCCCGTGTGATTCAGACACAATAGGCATCGCGCAAAATTGACGAGCCATCGCATAGCCAATCAAGCAGTCGGGCTCATGAACGGCGATGGCCAGCTGTATCGCTGCCAACTTTTACCGTGAATCGTTCATTCACTCGAATGCTCATTATACCGGGGTCTTCCTTTTCTCGCGCACGGCTGTACGGACGCTCCACACTCACGAGAACGCACACGGACGAGCCGTCGTCGGTGAAATTTCAAACCAATTCATTCGCGCTGCACGCAAATACGCCGTCTTAACGACTCTTTACAGTATATTTCGGAAACCCGACACACGGTAAATCTTCTTCAAAGATTCGCGGCGTATCCCAGATAGACTTTCACGATTATCGTGACGTGTACAAACTGTATGCAATCTTTTTAATTATATTTATGTACAAGTGTGTACAATTTTCTTAATTATATTTATGAAGCAAATATATGCCGCGTGTATTAAATTAACTTCTAAATTTATACCATACAGTAAGAAAAACTTGTCATAAGTTGTTTTATTTCTCTTAATGAGAAAGCGTTATAAAATAAAATACTCAAAAGTAAAATAATCATAATATTCTATTTAAAAATACAAAAATGATCTCCAGATTTTTGAAGCGGAGAGAACAGTATAGTTTTTTTTTATACAAATTCTTTCCAATTTTACTGTTTTTAATATTTCACGAATAAACTCTCAGTAAGGTCTATCTTGCTAAGGAACATAGTAAATTTCATTTCTAGAAACATAACAAGTGTTTTAATAATGCATTTCAATTTCTAAAATGCAAGTAATATGAAATGAAAGAATAGTGAATTATTGTAGAATGTCGATTTCTTCTTCGATTACAAAGTCCTATAATAATTTTTACTGCAACTTCTCTCTGTGTACTACTTGAAAATTTTTCTATAGAATATAAAGTTTATTTTTGTGAGATAGTGTGAGAAGTGAGATTGTAAGATTGTGAGAAGTTTATTTCTGTGAAATAAACTTTTATTTCACAAATAAGTTTCCAAATTTGTTTTCTTAGTGTGTAGTAATGTAATTTTTTTGTTATAATGTTGCAGCAACAAATTAACTAAAAGTTCCGCTCACAGATTTTCATATTACACATTTTTACTTTACATGAAATTGAAGCAAATTTTGATTATTTTTTTAGTATTCTTTCTTCGTATTTCTATTTCGTATAATAGATTTCTGTCTGATAAATTTCTATGTAAATAAATATGAGTTTCATATGAACCACTCACAAGAGATGCAATCTTTACAAGTCCGCTAATAAAGTTACTGCCATATCCACGTACACTTGTCTATCTGGGACGTTACAAAATGTCGACTCGCTTTCTCGATTTTATCAGCCGACAAATCCCCCTCTTGATTTATTAGAAATTATTTCAACCAATCGGGAACAAAAAAGATCCAAAAATGAATGAACTATCAAGGCTCACAAATGTACGATCAATAGAAGACAAAAAAGGCCAATAAGAGAACCGACGCAAGATGCAACTCACTCAATTCACAAATGGATGAAGAAATGGGGTCTCAAACGGACTCCTCTGAGGACTCGTGTTATTTTAATATCAAGAGCGGCGTGACACATCTTCGTAATTGCAAATCGACGAGCCGAGAAATCAGCCCGTAATCGATCGTTCCGCTCGTCATTACCGTAAATTTCTCAATTCCAACCGCAATATAGACACGTACACGTGCTCAACGGCGAACCGAGAGAAGAGAAAACGCCTAAAAAATCAGCTCCCCCTGCCCCCGTACGCATAACTGGTTTATGTTTATCGATCGTAAACGAAGGGAACGCGTCGAAATGTTTGCCGGCTAACGGGCCCCGGCGAATTCCGGAATTTGTTCGTATTACGGCACCGGTGCGAAACTCGGGATGCTGTAACGCGTGCGCGCGTTGCCGATCGAGAAAGTCAAACATTGACTGAGGACTTCGCGCGCGCGTCGCCGGCCCCCGAAAGGAAGAGTGGACTACTCACCGACCACATTCAGCAGCGCGAGCACTTCACATAGGTAGTACCTGTAAGCCCACCAATTGTGAAAGCGAAGGTTCTCCCAGAGGTAGTCGAGCAGCATCTTCTTCTTTTGCTTTTTCTCCACCTCGGAGCAGAGCCCGATGTCGAGATCCATCATGAGGGCATGAATCTTGCCACCCTCCCAGCCTTTCCACAGCCATCTCGGCGTATAAAAAAGGATCGCCTGCAAGCAGAGAGACAGAAGGAAAGAGAGAGAGAGAGAACGAAAGAGACAGAGAGAGAGAGAGAGAGAGAGAGAGAGAGAGAGGGGGGGGAGAAGGAAACCGCGAGTGAATAAATAGCGACGAATCGGCCAATAGCTGATATATTACGGAGAGTTCTGGTAGGCGGACCTACTTACGTGTAATACATAACCGACGCGTCGATAGTACGAAACGAGTTATCATTATTGTATACCCTGCGCCTGATAACTGCTGATTAAGACAATGCGGCCGCCGGCCGACCGGCCGGCGCTCAGGCGCGCGCGTGCACGTTGCGGGGCGAGTTCTACTTTATGAATTTTTAATGGAAAAATTGCCGGCTACGCCTCCTCTCGTTCGAAGAAGGAGGAGGAGGAGGAGGAGGAGGAGGAGGGAGAGGAGGATGAGGTGCGTTTAATGCGCGCGGCTTTAATTATTTCGAATCGCTGCTCCTTTATCGCGGCGCGGCGGCAAAATTGTGCGCCGCCGCGCCGTTATTTGTGTAATTGTTAAATTGGTTGGGCGGTTTGTTGAATTATCGGTATCCTGTCTCGCGCTGGAACCCTCTCCGCGTAATCTAGACGGCTTAAATAAATTTCAAACGGAGCTTCAAAGATCTTTTCTTGTTAGCCTGCTCCGAATTAGATTGTATCAGGTTCGTGCACAAAAGGTGTTTATTAAATAAAATAGGAAACGAAATTGCTCAATTTCGAAGGATTAGTCATTTTTATGGATAAAATTAACAATATCGGTCAGTATTTTTTTAGTCATCTCTGATGAGAATTTCCTATTTATATATATCTTATAATATACTCAAACTTCCCACAAGAATTAGGAGAATTTAATAGATTGAAAAATATTTCTTGAGGAAACATAAACCGACTTCAAAAACTTCAGAAGCCCTAAAAAGTATATAATAATTTTGACTCAATATCCCTATATACCTCCAATATTATTCTAAAATTAAGGTGAATATAATACCATATTAATAATATTATTCTAAAATTATGTAAAAATAATCCCTTAAGTTTGTATAAATTTTTTTACAGCGCACACTTTTGCTGAAATATTTACTTCTGAAAAGGAAGTTAGAATATAAAAACAATATTTTCTAAGAGTTTTTGTTTTCTAAGTCGGGTAAAAAGAAAACTTTTGTCTTATATCTCTAGTTGTTCGTGGATTTTCAAGAAAGTAATGGAATTACCTAACTTTCTGGTCATCCGAACGAACCCGGATAATAACACTAATCTAAGTATTATGTAGATAATATATTGAACAAGATACAAAAAATTTCATCTCAAATAATAATCTCAAATAATATCTCTAATAATAATCTTTAATAGTTCTCTGGTAGAATTATAAGGGAATACACAAACAAACAGAATTTCGTCTTCTTGAAGCTGATTAAAAATGACAAATCTTTAACACTAATCTAATTTATGTATTCAAACTTTTTTATTTTTTGTTTTATGTAAATATTATATACTTCATTTTTTTGTTAATTGTTACTTATGTGTTACTTATGTCTACGTTTAAATACATTTTTCTTTTTCAATTTACACAGTTCTTGTTTTTTAATTCGAACACTGTCAACAGAACATAACGAACGTTACTGCAAATAAATATCCACCATAAAATTCCACAAGAAAAAAAAATCTCGTCACATAATCAATAGATGTCATATTTATATGTCTCACATTAAAATTAAAATCATTTTCTCTTGATTTCCATAAATTCGTTCCCGAAGAAGTTCGTTACGCTCAGAGAAATTTTCCTACGACACATAAACTTATTTATCCTTCTTAACATCTCGACATCGAACACCGGATATAGATATTTCCACTCAGCTTATGGTCAGAAATGAAAGATCGACATTTAATGTCATAATTTTAATATCCTGTGGTCGAGTTTTATGTGCCCGTCTGTCATTAGCATTTCATTAGGCTACGTTAGCCGTGATCACGCCTCTCTGGTTCTCGTTCTGGAGCACGTTCTGGAGCACTCCAGCGTACGTCGTATCGGTCGTCACGATGTCGGCGAGAATAAACGCGCGGTTAATTGAATCGCGCGCGCGCGCGACATTATCCCGTATTAGAATTTCCGATGCGATGTCAATGCACTTATCGGGAACAGGCGCGGATGCGGGAGTAAATCCTTTCTCACGGTATATAAAGCTTTCTGGCTTACCGCCAGGCACCTCGGATCGTGCTTGTCGTAGTATGCGATCGAATATAGATTCGCTCCTCGTCGCTCCCCATGACGACGACGACGACGACGACGTGTTGGCAAGCGTTCAGAAAATTCGAGCTAAATTGCAATTTACGGAAAGTGACAGAGACGCGGATGATTGTTAATATGTAACGTACCGGCAGTACGTGCCGACTGCGTAAAGTGTGTCGGGACATCGGTCGATTTTCCGGCATGCATTCTGTCAGCGAGTCAGTAGTTTCCGCGCGTCGAGAGACAATCTAGTTTCGAAATTTCTCGAAGTAAAATCTCACTCAAAACAAGTGAGAATCACTCCACCCGGAATCACATGAATGCTTGAGTTGGTCAGACGAGTTTGTCTCAGTGAGACGTACACAAACCGCCGATATAGTCATAATTGTACCGCGCGTAATGGTTATCTTGTCTGTTTTAACTAAGTTGTAATTGGGTTATAATAATATATTTTCTAATATATTTTCTAAACGTGCACGTGTGTTTCTGATAAGTGAAAAGATATTTATCTAGACATATCAAGGGGAGATTCTGGTTTGGATAAGAAAAATAAGAGGTGTTCACGAATTTTTTTCAGTGAAATGGGTGAAGATATCAATATTGGGTTTTTCAAAAAATTATTTTTAAAAAATTTAAACGCCGTCCAGGTTTTTTGTGCTGGACGCAGCATCGCCGAATGGATAACATTACAGGTCGCGTAATATTCTGAAACAAATGAGACCAGAAAAACTGTATTAAATTTTCTGGGAAGTGAATCTTTGTTATATGCAGAAAATCGAAGTTTAACAAAATGGCGGCACTTTAAAATTACAAATTATTTTTTCACTAATTTGGCGTCTAACGACACTTGACAACGAAACTCTCCAAATTTTTTTTAATAAAGAAATAATCTTTTTGTACTTAAAACAATCAAGAGTATTATCAAAATCCAATATCTTTATTCTTAAGAAAAAATTCATAAACATTTCCTTCCTTGATTATTTAAATCAGAACATCCCCTTAAAATAAAGCTATCAAAGCAATAACAGATTATTGCTATGACACGTTATTTGTGCTTTTTTGGGTAACCAGTAAATAATAAATCAATAAGACATACTCTTCAAAAAATTGCAATTGACAAATTTAATAAAATTTTAATAATCTAATTACGTGAAACATATTTGATCCTACTTTCAACCTTACTGTTCCACTCAACACCTATCTTGATACTCTGAAACTTACATCAATCTCTTTTGATTCTATTTAATCTGTGTCGAAATTTTGATCCTATTTTCAGCCTCATTATTTCATTCATCATATTATTTTGGTATTCTGAAGTCTATAATACAATTTATTTTGACGCTAAAGAAAGTGAAAAAGGAAATTTTAGACATCATCAGAGTTAAAATAAGAGTAAATATTGTTAGAATTAAACTTACTTTGCTAACTTAGCTGCATTGTAGAATTCAAGGTTTAATATAGGATCAAAATTTCGAATCGGGATATTAAGATTATTATGTCGGTTTGTATACATCATACTTTCAATTTTGAAAGAAAGTTCCCTCAATATGAGTGAAAAATCGCTCGAATTCGAATGATTTGGCTTCTGTCAGTCCATACATTTCGAATAAAATTGTTCTCGAGAAAATTTAGAGAGCAGACATCACTACACTGACGGGGGAAACATAAACGAGCGTAATGACGAAATTTCACGGATTCGTTGTATGTTATTGTGTCAGGAGGAAATCAAGGAAAAATCAGAGAAGAGGTAGAATGTTGCGAAAGAGGTAGAACGTAGCGAAAATTGCATCATTCACTCGACAGCTCAGACGTTTATGTATCAACGACGAGATTCCTGGGATCGGTCCGACCTCGCTCTTGACGAGATCACGAAGAAACGTAAAACAAACGGGTGCTCGCTCGTCGGAGCGATTGTAAGACGATTCGCAGCTTTTAGCATTATCGCGAGAGGCAACGTCTGAGGCGCGTAAAGAGAGAAGGGAAAATGTGTGACCGAAAATAGATCTGTTTCTCACCTCACCTCACCTCTCCTCTCCTCTCCTCTCCTCTCCTCTCCTCTCGGCGCCACCTCCGGCAAGGAGGATCGAACGCGACTACATCCGCGCTGACCCCGCGGCTCTGGAGAGCAGCCGTTTATATCATCCTTTCAATATTCAAGCTCGTTGATTTACATAAGTCCCTTCAGATATGCAAATACACTCGGACACTCGCGCGGCCGATCGTCCGTCTGTCTCGGAGATATTTACTCCGCAAACAAAATGCGCTAAAATAAGGCAACCTCGACGTCAATTAAACCGCGCGCAACTCCGCGCGGATTTTCACGGCGACGAGCGCAGCTGCGTGAGCTATGTGTACCGCACGTGAAACAAGCGAGTTTACTTTCCTTGACTCACGTATCGAGTGAATCTCTCAGACCGACGAGACACAAGATCGCAATGCCTTGGCGAGACCATTAGCGTTACCGTGCGCGAGCACTTTAATGAGAAATCAAAGTTTATGCCAAAACAAACTTTTAACATATCGCATTTCCATTATGTGGAGTTTAAGATGGATAATTTAAGGTATATGGAGAAGAGATAGTGTATTGATTCTGCACATAAAGAAGTAAAATTTTGCTTGCTCGAAGGAAAAAATTGTTGTCTTTGGAAAAGCTTCGGACCAAAACTTTTGGTATACGTTTATCAGTTTAGTTTTTTTAGTATTAGTTTCAGTTTGCTTGTGTACATAACATAGTTTTTAATACGTTTACTTTTTTTACCATCAA